ATAAATAAGTAAATACCTTACAATTAAAAAAGTATGCAATATATACTGAAATAAGAAATATCTTTGATCCAGTGGTCCCAGCACTGGAAATCTCCCTTTGGAAATAAAAGCATTCTATGATAAATATACACGTGTAAGGATGTTTATTTCAGTGCTATTGGTTGAGAGAAAAGCTTAGATCAATTTACATGTTCATCAATAAGGGGACAAATGGTTCTGTAGTAGGGTTATCTATTCTATGGATTTAGCTGTTAAAAGACTGAATTAGATCTTTACCAATTGACCTGGCCAGATATTGTTAATATACTGTAAAGTGAATCAAGCAATGGTCTGGTAATGTGTTAGAATTTGTGTTAAAAAAAAACAACCACCCCAAAAGCCAACTAGCTCTGTTTTTGTAAGTATGGATAAGGTTAGAGAGTGATACACAACTCAGGCAGTTAAACTGGTTACCCTAAGTGGAGTAGAAATTGGGAGGTGTAGGAAGAAACTTTTGGACCATCTGCTTTTTTTGGATTATGTCATCTGCTACAATGGCACAGATTGCTTTTACAGTATAAAAGATTAATTGAGAAAACACATATTCTTCAAATGATTCTTTGTAAACAAAGATGATTAATTTTACAGTTTTAACTGCTTTAAATGGTTATAAAAAGAAAAATCCCCAGGATAAGTCTTTTTTTTTTTTTTTTCCTAACTCTTCTTCCAGCCTTGATTTTATCTGGTGAAGCTCCCATCTGCCTTCTGTTGGAATCTATATTTCTCACCGAAGTCTTACAAATGTGCTACACACAGTAAGCGCCACCTACAAATCCCCCTTTACGTGACGTTGCATCCCTGTGATACCTCCTGGCCTTGTCCATTTTTTAGTGAGTTATCAGTCTCCGTTGTGTCTCTCTGTTTTAGACAGATCTCTTGGTGTGCAGTGACTCTGCTTCATTCCTGTTTGACCCCCAGCATCCTTGTTACTCGGGCAGGAGAATGGTTTGCAGTCCTTGCCTTCCAGAACAGCTCAGCAGATTTGTGCCCTATCGACTTCCTTCCTGAGCCACTCTTGGCTTCCCTGATGCCTCACTCTGCAGTACTCTTACATCATAAGCTGCAAGAACACAATGAAGGGAATGAGGAGTTTTTAACATTGGGAGGAGGGGTGGATGAGCAGGCTCTAGACTAGGCTCCCCAGGAATGACTCCAGGGCAGGACTGAACTGGCCCATCTGGGCAGCTGCCACCTTGGAGGCTGCACCTCTTGCCTCTGACCCAGGACTCAGGAAGCTGGACCCAAGAAAGGGCCACTGCTTTCGTTGACCTCCAACAACTGAATGTCTTGATATCCAGGAACCTAGTAAATGGATGCTGGAATGCTGGTGCTGAAAACTTCAAGTCTTGGGGGTTTTGCCTCAACATAAAAACAGCCAGAAGGTGCAGAAAGCTGATCTCTGTCTCACATCTAACTTTTTTTAAGATTTTTTTTTTAAATTTATTTGTCAGAGAGAGTGAGCACAGGCAGACAGAGTGGCAGGCAGAGGCAGAGGGAGAAGCAGGCTCCCTGCTGAGCAAGGAGCCCCATGTGGGACTCGATCCCAGAACGCTGGGATCATGACCTGAGCCGAAGGCAATCGCTTAACCAACTGAGCCACCCAGGCGTCCCTCACATCTAACTTTTAAGTCTCATCTGAGTGTATCTCACTACTCAAACTTACTCAAGAACAGAATCCTAGCTGCAAAGGAGAGAGTTCCTGTTTGTCTCTCCTGCTTGAATGTAGCCCTGTGGGAGCAGAGACCATGCCTATTGGCTCCCCACTAAACCACCTGCAGCTTCCGCAGTACCAGGCACACAGCAATAATCTAACGTTCAACACGTGCAAGGAAACAGTGCTGGTTCCAGGCACTACCCCAAGCTCTTCACGTGCATTAACTCATTGAATTCTCCCAACAAACCTCAGATGTAGGTATTATTACTCTCCCCAGTTTACAGATGTAGAACAGGCACAGAGAGGTGAAGTAAGTTTGCGAAGACCGTACAGTGATAAAGAGGACTTGAACCCAGCGTTCAGACTCTTAATACACTTTATTGCCTCATGTTTATTTCAAGTATGCCCATTTCAACGTTGACTGAGTTGTATTACACAGTGGATTGATCCCATACAAATTCATAACTACAGAGTACTTTTATAGAGGAAAGCTTAACATGTTTAACTATGGAGATGGTTATACTTTGTTACCATTTGTACTGGTGGGTTTTTTTTAATCCTTGCCAAACCTGTGAGATAATCTGTCCAAAGGTGAATAGCATTAGTGATTCAGTGGGTTGACATAATATTCAAGGACTTCATACTTCTTAGACTCATAAAAACTTCTTAGTAACCACAAAAATTTGCTTGAGTATATATATATATACATATGTATGTATATATATGTGTGTATATATATAGGTATATATATTTGTATATATATACCTATATATACACACACACATTGAGTATGACTATATATGTATATATGTACTCTGTGTATTTGTTAATACAACATAGGAAGAAGATTGAATATTTGGCTCCATGTTTCTCCATTCCTAACTTAAATGTTAAATGATACATAAGTCAATTACATTTTGGATTGTCTTAATCACTTCTAGTTATCATTTCATTGTGGCTTTGGGAATAACAAAAATGCATGGGATGGAAAACTGGGCAACTTTCCCCCAAAGTTTAGCTTTGCTCCTGCCATGAGATGCTCTCATCTGTCTTTTCTTTCCCATATTTAACAACAAAAATAAAACTTGCTGTTATTTGGTAGTTCTGAGAAGAGTGTGATGATGTTTGTAAAGATCTCTGAACTGCTAGAAGAAAGGTATTAATAAATACCAAAGCATAAAATAGCATACTATTTAATGAGAATAGATGATTCAGGAGGACTCTGAGTCATTATTAAGGAGCTGTTTTAAAATAGTAATGGAGGAATTATTCCAAAGATGTTTCATGGATTCTTAGATTACCAGATATTTAAATTCTCCTATAGTTCTAAGGCAATATGATATTTGAAGCAATATTGAAAAGACAAAAAGTACATTTCAAAGGTAATGACTTAGACGGGCAGAAGTTTCTTCATTGTATAGACTGGGAAACTGGAGTACATCCAGTTCAGACTTCCCACTGAATTCATAGTGAATGGGTAGCCATTGTCCTGTTTGGGAGTGAGGGGGAACTTCCCCAGCATACTGTACTTGCTAATTGCTGTCCCCTCACTGGGGATTCCCAAATGCTTTCCGGTGAGAGAAATGTCCATCTAGCTGTGGAGGAGCCAGTTCAGCCAAGGCTAATTAATTTGCCCATGGATAACAGTTCTTAGGCAAGTAAAAAAGAAAAAAGAAATTGCAGTTTGTGACAGCTTTAGGGCTGTCAGTTCACAGCTAAGGATGTGTGAGACACTATCCCATGGAGTGATTGTCAATCTTAACATTTTTTTTTTTTTCAAAACCTTAAGCCGTCTCTTGACAAACATACGGTTTTTGTATTCTTCTTTGATGGTGATTGAAATTTCAAAATAAATTTTGTGAATAAAAATAAACCAAAGGAAAGACAAATTTAGAAACTACTTTTCCCGACTATTTAAGCACTCCTATCCTCCGAGGTTTTTCACGGCTTGAGATACATTCTTCTGGTGTAGTACAATCTTCCAATGACGCTGCGTTAGCTGTTCTGGAGAGCTATCCCCAGATGGGCCCCGAGACATGCATGGACTGAGCTTGAGAACTTGGGACTTTGTGCCTACACTTAGATTACTGTTCACTTGCTCATTTATTTTCAAGACAAACCGCGCTGTTCCTTCATGGCAGCAGCCTCAGCATGTCCTTTCTTTTGTGGTGAGTCCTAGGGACTAAAATTCGAGTAGTACCGTACAGGTTTATTTACGGCACATTCATTTGTTTCATTTGATGTTCCTGTCCCCGAGTACCCTGGCACTCGGTTAAAGGTTTGTAAGCACCTTTGCTCACAGATCTTCCTCATTCGGTTCGGTTTACTACACGCTATCCATAAATGATACAGATGGGATTCAGGTCCAACACGGGAACGTGACAACTGTTTCGGTTTGGGTCTATCACGAATAAAACCGAAGAACAGATGCCCGCAACTGAACGCGGTAGATTTTGACTTCTATTTCCAGCTCGTCAGATTTCCCCAACGGCGGGTTTGCTTCCTAAACGAGGGGTGTTTCCTCATCTGCTTTTGCATCACTGGATTGAATTCAGGAAGCCGTAGTCGTTGGATTGGAATATGACCGAGAATGTTGCCCTACCAATAGAGGGATGGGTAGATTTAGATGGAGAATAAATTGACAAATCCCGGCCTGTTTTCCACAGGGTGTATTTTATATTTCTAGGCGGGCGACCTCAGGTCAGTTTTCAAAAGTTGTGTTTTTTTTTTTTTTTCTTTCTTTCCTTTTCAGCGCAGAGGAGACGCTCTCTGAAAGCCAAAAAGGAGTGTCAGCGCGCCCCACCCCATTCGCCTCCAACGGACCTCATTAGCCTTCCCGCCCACAAACAGCCACTACTACAATTCCCAGCAAGCATCGCGCAGGGCCCCAAAAGGACCGGGTCCCACTGGCATGCTGGGAGTTGTAGTGAGTGAGCCCAACTACTCTTTCCTTCTGTTAGGCATCCCCACTCGGAAGACGGTAATGCGCTGCTACAGCAGGCTCTCCAGTTTCGTAGTCGGAGCTAAACGTTACCGAGGATTGCGCCCTTCTGCCCTGCGGTGCGTATCGCATCGGTGCCACCGAGCTTCGCTCCGCCCTCTGTGCACGCCCCTTCCCTTGACAGCTCGAGCTCCGAGGGGTCGCGAGGCCCGGAGCGCGCAGGCGCAGCAGCCGGCTCCGCGCAGGCGCAGCAGCCGGCTCCGCGCAGGGTAGCTCTCGAGGGCGGGACGAGCGCAAGAGGCTCCTGGCCACCGGGGCGCGCACGTAGGCACGCAGAGGCCGTCACGTGGGGTGCCGAGGATCGCAGTGCGCGTGGCCGCGGCGGCTGGTGTGAGGTTGAGTCAGTTGTGAGACCCAGAGCTGCAGACCCAGAGCTGCTGACCCAGCGGGCGGCCCAGTGGCCCGGCCACAGAGCGGCAGGCGTCGGGGGTTCGGGAGCCGTGAGCTGGCCCCATCACAGAGCTCGGCCGAGCCGGCGCCGCCGTCGTTCCCCGCCCCCAGCCAGCAAACCGCCGCCGCGGGCGCGCCCCCGCTCTGCGCTGTCTCTCCGATGGCGTCCGCCTCCGGGGCCATGGCGAAGCACGAGCAGATCCTCGTCCTCGACCCGCCCACAGACCTCAAATTCAAAGGTGGGCTGGGAGAGGGCTGCTGCCCGGGTGGGGCGGGCGGACGGCGTGATTTAGGGTGGGTGGGGGGGTTGAGGGAAGGTCGGCGGCGGGCGCGAGTGAACGTCCCCTCCCCCACGCCCCGGCACTTTCCATTCTGCCGTGGCTCCCCGCTCCGGCCCTCGGCCTGCCTGCCCCGCGTCTGGCCGGCTCCCTCCCTCGCCCGCTGGCGGCTCGATGCGCGCGCCGGCCGAGGCGAGGCGGAGGGGCCCGGCCCTGGCGCCGCCGCCGCCATCTTGCGGTCCCGCGGGGGCGCCTCCCGGGTGCTGCCCGCGCTGCTGCCCGCGCCTGGCTCTCGTCCTTGGCCCCCGGGGGCCGTCGGGCGTTGTCTGGGAGGGTGTGGGTGGGCGGTGACCTTAGAGCGTGTGCTCGGGTCCGCGACGGGAAGGGGGGGGTCTGGGGGTGGCGCAAGTGCGTCGGTCGCCGGAGCCGGCTGTCAGCGGCGGTGGGAGGCAAGGCAAGGCGAGGCGGTGGTGCGGAGGCCCTGGACTTGGTTCCGAGAGCGAGCCACCCCTCCGCCTCGAGCAGGGGCTGGGTGGAGCCGGCCCCCGGCCCTTGCGGAGGGGGTTGCTGCCTACCTTTTTGCCTTGTTTAGAATTCGGCTGTCAGGTACGAGGAGAGTTAGGGAGGCGGAGAAGCCCGTGAAGTCCTCTGGTTATGACTTACCCGGTTGTGTTGGCAGAGACCCAAGCGCGTGCGGGCAGGAAAGCTATGCGTCAGCCCGGGAATTGATAGTAGTAGGTTAATAGTAGACGTCTTCCTGGTCCTCCCGTATGACATTTCAGCTCACCTTCCGCGCCGGGCGGACCTGGTGTTTGCTCTTGTTTAGCTCTTTAGCTTAGCTCTTTGGCTGCGGAATCTTCAGTGTTGGGGACTTTTGCCTCTTACGTTTGCGGTTTCGGAGAAGGTTGATGAGGTGTCGCTCAGCTCTGGAGCGCCCTTAATTTACTTTGTAGCAATGCCTCTGATAAATTATAAGTCCGATTTGGTGATCCCTCAGGAATCTTGAAGGGCTCTTTGGCCCATTTGTTTTTCAGTATGTAGGGTACCTTAGGGAAGAGAGTTAAACTGGCTTCTTTTTACGAATACCGAAAGCGTGTGGCGATCCAAAATGGAAAGATTCCTTCCTGTCTTCATTTCAAGTGTAAAGTGATTCGCTTTTTGGAAGGTTCATTATCTTGTATTTCAATTTCAGCAGTTACGATGAGAGCAGTTTTTGTGAAATGTGTAACCATTTCAGTGCTTACAACAAAATAAATCCTTTATTGTTGTAGAAGATTGAGTCCAAAGGAGAAAAAATTGCTCTCCATGGGCAACGTTTTAAATAGTTTTTAGGAATTTTAAAATACCGTTTTTTGGTATTAGAGTAATGGTGTATAGCTAGTTTATTTTGCAAGCTTTTTAGTACATTTGCAAATTTCTTTGAATGGAAATGGGACCTGCTTTTTCAGTAAGGATTTAGTTTTAAGACAACACAGATATTTTGAGAGGCACTAAATGTATTTTATTTTAACAAGTTTGTGTGTGTGGCATTTCATATCGTTTTAGTTGAAAGGGAAAAAAAAACCTTTGGGGAATCATGAAATTTCCTTAAATAGCCATTATCTTTGGTTGGAGGAATTTAATGTAAACCCTATAATGGGTTGTGTTCTTTTGAGAGGTTAAAAGAACTTTTACTTTTTTTTTTTTTTTTTAGATTTTATTTATTTATTTGACAGAGAGAGATCACAAGTAGATGGAGAGGCAGGCAGAGAGAGAGAGAGAGAGAGAGAGAGAGAAGCAGGCTCCCTGCTGAGCAGAGAGCCCGATGTGGGACTCGATCCCAGAACCCTGAGATCATGACCCGAGCCGAAGGCAGCGGCTTAACCCACTGAGCCACCCAGGCGCCCCAAAAGAACTTTTACTTTTTGACAGGCTGAGTTTACAGAGGAAATTTATCTACTGGATAACCATATGTATATTGCTATTAGGGACTTAGAAGCTTTTAAAACCAGTTTTAGGCCAGGAAATGTCCACGGAATTTGAAGTTTTCAGCCTAGAAAAGTTGTAATGTTGCCAGAGTAAGAGACTAATAGTAGTGGAGAAGCGAGCTACAAAAACTCAGAACCCTACGCAATAACATTCATATGTTTCACTTATTTTAGGTCTTGTAGAGTTATTAGTCATGATTATAGAACAGGTTTTTCTTGTGTTATGGATGAAAGTAATTCCCAAGGACCATTTTTAAAAGTTTGGACATCAATAACCACTTTTTAAAATTGACTTCAAAAAATATTTCATTGAAAAATTTATAGAGACATACTCAGTTGGGCCACTTATTTAGTGAACACTTACTGAAAGCTTTATGCCATCCCTGTATTAAGATTATTCAGCTGAGTAATTCAGCAATAATAAATTTATATTCGGGGATTCAGTGCAAAACAAGGTGGGGGAAAAGATTTACAGTTTGTAGTTTAATGGGGAAAGCACCCAGTAAAACAGTGAAACATTTTAGGTTTTATCTTTGCCCTTGAGGAGCTCTTGAGACTAGTGAGGAAGACCTAAAAGGCTTGTAGGTGCTATAACAGAGGCAGACTGGTATGAAGAGAGACCCCACCCTCACCCCCCAGGTTTCTTGAAAGAGGCTAATTTTCATTTAGGGAGTAGGAGAAAAGGGTTGGGCAAGGGAGTGGTAGTTTACTCAACCACTGATGTAAAAGAATGTGTGGCTTATACTTCAGTGGTTTGCTGTGTGCTTCTGTTCTAAGGGGGAGATAATGGGGAGGATTGGGAAACAGGAGGGTAGGATGAATTAGGAGAGGCGACCTTTGGTGTCATTTGATTGCTTCCTTCCTTTATGTTTTTTTTCTAGTCAAGGGTAAATAGTTTGCTTTGATGGAAAGCTCTCTGTATTCCAGTGCACCGTTCAGCACTAAGTAAGGAGACTCATTTAGAATCCACAAACTCCATATGCTTAGTTTGATGATGATATAAAGTCATTTCATTCTCACTTGCCCTAAATCATCTGTAATTTTTAGTTTAAGTCTGTTAAAGGATAGTTTTCAAAATTCTCTTACCTTTCAGTAGGCTTATTTGAATTCTTTTGAACTCAACATTTGACTAAGATGCTTACTCTAAGAGGGACTCAATCATTCTGAGAATAGGTAGTGAATTTTTCTGTCATATGCATAATAGTCATCTTGATAGGAATTATCAGCACTTGGCACAATTATGGAGAAACAGATACCAGTTTAATACATTTTTATAAGTACTTTTATTAAAATTTTTTGTTTTATACAGTTGTCAGCATATGAAGGTTCTTTTATAAGGGTGTAATGAATTCTAAGGTAGCTCTTTTGTTGCTTTGGTAAAGAAAAAGAGGTAGATATTTTCAAATTCTGTTTAAATCATGGCAGTAATTTGACCTAGAGTTCAGATTTGAAATTTGATATTATATCTGAGATGATTTTTTTGTCCCATTATAATTTATTAAAATTAAATTTTTTCCAGTTGTATTATACAATTTATTTGTATAGTAGTATTGTAGTTTTGGAGAGTAGTTGGAAGAAAGAAATTTAGAAAATGCTAAAATAAATTGCCAAAGTATTCTTCCTAATAATAATCAGAGAAAGGACAGTAGACTAAAACCATTGTGTTGAAGGTGGTCCATAGCAGTATTGAGCCAATAAAGAAAATTAGGCTCTCTTAGGAACCAAGAAACTGTTATGTGTCCGCCAGAGCATCTTTGAATAGCAGCACATTACTAAGAAGTCCAAGTGAGGATGTAGAGTTCTACTCTTGGCACACTTTTAGGTCTTTCAGATCAGCTCCTGTTTCACAGTGGCTTCATCAGATCCCTGGGGTGATTTCCCCAGCCTTTTCCTGGGCTACAGACATCTTATTACTTCATTCCTTAAAAGCTTTCTAGTAGCTCTTGATTGCCCCCTGGATAAAAGTCCGTTTTTTTTTTGTTGTTGTTTTGTTTTGTTTTGTTTTTTTTTAGTATGGCATTTAATTCCTTCCGTGAAATGCTGTCTCCTCTTGTAACACCTGTTCATCTGCACGCATCCATACTTTTCACCCTGAGAAAGAAAAACCCTTCTCATATCCAAGCTTGTTTGTTCTCTTTTTGTTGGTTAAGGTAAAATCCCTCATGACTCATACTTAGACCATGTTTTCTCGGATATTTTCCCTCTCATGTTTTCAGCCACTGGCTTCTTCCTTTAAACATACAAATACACATAAGTTTTTCACTTTAAAAACAAATAAGCAAACAAAATAACTTCTTTGACTCCCAGCTCCTTCTGGTATTTGTCCCTTTCTCTCCCTCATTTCCTTTGCAGTCAGACTTCTTGGAAAAATTGTCCCTGTTCACTGTCCAGTTTCTCACCTCTTGTCCACTGTAGTACTGCTTCTGTCCTCACTGCTTGTTGATTGCTGATCGCATTGAGCATTTCCAGTGCTTCTCTCTTTGGCACTTGACATTATTAACATTTTTTCTTTTTAAAAACTTAAGTCTTTTGACTTCTGTGTAATTGTTTTCTAATTTTCTTTGCTGTCTTTTTTGTTTCATTTGTGGGCTTTTTCTTAATTGCTAATGTCTCTGAGATTCTGATTTGGTTCTATCTCTGAACTTTCCTTGTTCAGTCTCATTGTTTTGATGACTTCTCTTCTTTGCTCTCTCTTTGCCCATGTTGGTTCACACCCAAATTTATATTTTAATTGAGACTTTACAGTAGTCAGTTTTAGAATTGCTTATTGACTGTCTGGATTTGAATTTTAACTCAAGACTTTTTGCGGGGGAGGGGCAAAGGGAGAGAGAATCTTAAGTAGGTTAGGAGCCCTACACAGAGCTCATCTCACAGCCCTGAGATGATGAGCTGAGCCAAAATCAAGAGTCGGGCTCTTAACTGATTGAGCCACCCAGGCACTCCTTAACTCAGACATATCAAATTTTTTTATAACCCAAGTTTTTTATAACCCAA